GCAGATCAGGCGAAAATTGTTCCAAAGGGTCCATTTCTCAGACATCCTTTCCTCTGTGGGCTTTGACACTAACACTGAACAACCTGAACCTGCTATTTTAAAATGAGAGAAAAAATGATATATATTTTTAGAATTTTCTGGTCATAGTGTTCCCACTGAGAAAAGCAAAAAACTTAATAGGAAAATATAGGATTCACATTTTATATCCATTGAGCAAAGATCTTGTATCCATTTTTCATCCTTTCAGTTCTTCACATCGACAGCTCTCTCTTCACATCCAATGAAAACTGTGAAAAAGATTGACTTAACTTCTTATCTTTAGTGAACGGGATGTGGAAGTGTAGTTTTCTGTTTAACATCAGAGTTGGTTTGTTCCTTGCACACTAATTAATACATTTATTAAAATTAATGACCTTCATTTATTGGTTCAATTACTTGACAACATAACGTTAAACTCAGACAACGCAGTTTATTTAAATAAAAATATACTTTTTTATATACTGAAATGTTCAGTTTTTTGAAAACAGAAGATTTCTGGAGGGATTTGCCTTTGTTGTATTACATCTAGTTTATAATACCTAGAGCCAGTTTGTGTCACCAAGGTTCAGCATCCCTAGGGCTTTGCATCTTCCCAACCCAACTTGTTTGGAACCCGGCATTGATTTCCTGTATGTGGTGAAAGTTGGAGGTGATTTTTTTAAGCTTGGCTGAACCAAGCCCAGGAGCCAAGACTTAATGATCCAGTCATGGATAAACAGAAAAGAAATGACACAATTTGATTATTTGTCAATGTAAGTTTTATTTATTTAGCTTTTTTAATGTCTTTGTTTGGCTTTGTTACTAGTGGTATTTAGTTTATACACTTTTTGATTTAATTTGTATATGAAAGCTTCGCCATATTTATATTGTAAAGCCTACATAATTTTTTTTAAATTTCCTTTAGACACCTATTGGTCCTCATTAGAAATATTTCTGATGTTTTTAATTGTTTTTACGTGAGACTTTGTCACATTTTAATTCTCTTTTATGTTACAATAACAAACAAGTTCTGAATTCAAATAACTGTATTTAGTTCTGAGCATCAAAGTACCCCCCCCCCAAAAAAAAAAATTAAATGCTGTAAAATAAAAAAAAAATAAAGGCTTGATGACCTGAATAAAAATATTGTTCCAAGACCAGAACCTTGGGGAACTCCACAAGAGATGGTGGGCTGAATCTGAAAGATTTTTTTGTAGCCAAGTCACAGTAAATTACTGTAAAGTAGTTTAATCTATTTTCGTAACCCGCCTCCTTTCTGGGTCATTGGTGTCTGTCTCCAGCGGTCACTGTGTGAGAAGCAGGGACAGCCTGTACACATAGAGACAAACAAAACATACAATTCACCCTCTTATTCACACCTAGGGACAATTTAGAMTTATTAGTTAGCCTAACATTCATGTTTTTGGTATATTTTGCGGTAAGTAACTTCAATGTTAGACAGTGTTGTCCACATTCTCCAAAAGCCACATTGCTCCCAATAATTTTTATTTGTCATCAGCAAAGAACCAGCTGTTCTTTCTTTCCTTCATCAATGTTCTGCACTCTCTCGTCCCCTCTGACCCACATACACCGGAGGGTCTCTCAGCTTGCACCCAAACACTGCTGCAACACTCCGCAGGGAAACTTCCTTCAGACACAAAACTCACCACAGGACACACACACACACACACACACACACACACACACACACACACACACACACACACACACACACACACACACACACACACACACACACACACATCTCAACAGGAAGCAGTTGTTGTGGCAGTCCTCTCAGACAAGAGGACACAACTGTGTCTAAGTGTGGAGGCCATAAACACATACAATCATGGGCGCAGCTAGTACGGGGGACGGGGGGACATGTCCCCCC